AAATCGTGTATTCAAAGCACAAGTGCCAGGAAAATACTTGATTTTCCCGGGGGCAGGAAAACCCAGGAGCATTGCGGGAGTGAGCCTGCTTCGGCGTGGGAGGTGGATTCACCTGTCTGATCAGCAAACTTAAATGCAGGAGGGAACAGCGGCGAAACCCGATCAAAAGGACCGTGTGACCGCGACCTTGTACAGAGGAAGCGCATTGCACAAAATGTGGAGCTAAGGCAAACAATAAATACAGGAAAGGCAGATAAATAGTATTTCTGTTTTCAGACCTCTTGCAGATACTCTGCCTCATGACTCCAGAGGCAAGCAGCCACCTGAAGCCTCAATCCCACCTGAGGCTATTAAGGTAGCCCACACTGGTAAGCAAGAGTGGACCAACCAAGAAGGCCGAACTCTCAGACTTCATCTCTCCTTTTACATACACTGTAATGAGAAAATCAAGTACTGGTTTAAAAGTCCTCCATCTCTCTATAAATTGTGGCAGTATCTTCCACCAACAAAACGGAAGAGAAATCTGCTGTTGTATAACATGGGAACTGAAAGGACCATCACACATTGGAGGAACAAATGAGAAGCACAGACTCCTTTGTTGATGATCATCAAATACTCCGCATGGAGCTAGTGCTGGTCAAGTACTGATGAAATATTCTTCCTTGTAGGATCAGAGCTAGGGCACATGGCAGCAGGAGAAGCAATAGTTGGAGACAAAGTTCCAATGCAGTGTTCTATTAAGGATGCCAGAGTATTATCTTTATGTCATCCTGACCTCTCTCAACAGGTGCATACCCAATGGACACCAAGGGAACCATTCTGTCTATTCACACCTAAGGGAGAGTGGATAGGCTGAATGGATCATGCAGAATGTAAAAGCATCTACGTAGAGACCCTTTTTCCTCAATAATTATTTCTCACACAGTCACAAAGTAAAACTTATTAAAGCTGCCATCAGTTTGCTGCACCATCTGTCTGCAAGCAGCCATTCAACAGACATAGAGGCAAGGATACTCCATCCCATGGCATGCACTAAAGCAGTAGAAAGGACAAAACATTTGTATGCTCCCAGTATTATTTAGGTCTCTCAGTCTCAAAGACCAGACCTGCTTATTGTAAGCGCCGAACCGTGTCTAAACATTGAATCCTATTTTCTAAAGCAAGATTGAATGTGTTGCCATTAGAGGAATTATCGGGTAGGTTTGCAGGGATTGTTTTCTGAGGAATTTCGCAATTGTAAATCTGGAAAATCAGATACTATTTGGCATTTTATTGGCTGTAATAAATATTTGTTTGTTTGTTTTTGAATTTATATTTCACCCTTCCCACAAGTGAAGATTGTCGAAGGTAGGTGGGTTACCATTTAAATTTAAAAATTGGCTCCAGTTTCAGAGCTGGAGACTGTAGCTGTTAGCTGATGTTTATGGCATTTCATAATGCTATTTTATAATATAAATACTATGTTTATAATTATGTGTGTTGTATCTTTTCTCTGTTTGCTTATTATCAATTAGTCTGTGAACATTAATAATAATAAATGAAAATGGAGAATGTTTGTATTTGAGGATACCACCATTTTCCTTTCAGAATTTATGTACCTACAGAAGTTACTTGACCAAAAGGAAGGTGCAGCTGCAGCCTTCGTGAAGATTTAGTATTATGGAAATCTGTACCTGTTACTCCTCAGTTATGCAAGTTAGTCAAGCACAATCCTCATTCCTCCTCAGTGCTCCTGGAGCTCACTCTTCAATTCATTCTGTTCAATAAAAGCTATGACTGTTTCAACTGTGTCTGTTCTATTGATGTAAATGCTTTTTACTAGTCTCAGATGAGAGCTAGCACTGTGTAGTGGTTAAGAGTGACAGACTCTAATCCGGAGAACCAGGTTCGATTCCGCACTCCTTCACATGAAGCCAGCTGGGTGACATTGGGTCAGTCACAGCACTTTCAGAGCTCTTTCAGTCCAAAAAATGTCTAGCTCACCACCTAGCATGACACTAATGAGCTAGAACTTAAGGCTGCCAGACAATCTTTGGATCTCCGGGCTATACTACACTCAATGCCACATGATAATAATTATTATTACTAGTCTCAGATGTTGTAGTGGTAAAGAGAAGGTAGTACGTTCTTCACTATCATACCCAACCAGTGCTGACTGGCTGCACTTTGGCCATAGGTTTACCATCAGCTAGGTGGATGGGGCAACCTTAGTAGGGAAATGCCCTCCTAGCTGTCCCTTGATCACTGCCTGATGTCATAAACCAAGTAGTTGTCATCCTGGAGTCATAAAGCAGTTATGTGTGTGACAGGGGTGGGGAGATTGCTAGCAAAGTTTTCTGGAGACATAACTAGTAGGCAATGACTATCAATTGCACATGAGAGGCAAGCAGCTGAAGAAAATGAAGAGACTTGGCATCTGGTTAATGAATGAGTCTGAAAGTTGCCAGTACCTTTGATTGACAGACACACTGTTCTGTCTCCAATGGATGGGGTGAGTGGTTCTTCCCAGCCTTTTCTCTTGAGAGTCCAAACCAGGGATTGAACCTAGAACTTCTCAAACTGTAAGCCTGTGATGGGTTAAGATCTACATAGAGCACCTCCGGCATGAATGAATATTGCTGGAAGCCCTGGTTTCCATACATGAGACTGAGGCGGGGGGGCACATGTCATGGTGGTTGCGACGGCGGAGACGGCGGCGGCGAGGCATCGGTTCCGGTGCAGGTGGTGTGGCGTGGCGATGCGGCAGCGATGGCGAGCGGGTGCGGCTGGAGGAGCGATCCCTGGCGGCCGAAGAGGCGAGGACATCGGAGTGGCTGCCGCCGAGAAGGGGCGCGCGAGAATGCCAAGCGCTGGCCCAGCGGAGCCGGAAGGGACGTTGCTGAGGCCGGAAGAAGGCGGAGCCGCGCTGCAAGAGAGGCAGTTCCACCAAGCGCCAGGAAGAGCACCCCGCCAGAAGACCGCCGACAAAAAAAAAAAGAACCTGAAGGAAAAACAACACCAACCACCACCACAGGGGTGCCTGGTAGGTTGCCCCACCCCGCATAGAACCTGTGGCCCTAGCTAGGAAAAATTGAAATGGTGACTAGCACCGACTTGTAAGCTGCTCAGAGACCCCTGGATAGGGGGTTCGAGCGGGATATAAAGTGGAATGTAAATAAATAAATAAATAAATAAAATGGGACAGATCCTTGGTTAGACTACTGCTGCACCTGTCTGCTAGTCTCTATAGCTAGGTGGTTAAGAGGTTGCTCACTGGAGTGGGAGCACTGGGTGGCTGTCTTTTTCCACCAAAAACTATTGTTGGCAAGTCATTCAAAAAGCAGGTTTCTCCCATTTCCTCTTCCCAG